GGAGACCTTCAAAGCCTGCTCCGATCGCCTGACAGCACGTCGATGTACCTTGTTGCCATGACATCATCACAGAGAAGCGGTTGAGTTTGCACCTCTTTCTTCTCATCTTCCCCCTCAGCTCTTTCTCCATCTTCCCAGCAGGTTCCAGTCACCCTCGGGGCGGAGGAGGAGCCCTACATCCGAGGACATTTTCACTGCTGGCTCCAAGTCAGGACTCCCCAGCAGCTGATAATGATGTTGCCCATCTCCCCGCAGTGGGGAGGGATGAAGTCATGAAGCACAGCCCTCTGAGCTGCTGTCGCAGCTTTGCGGGACAGGTGGATAGAAAGAGTCACTTCGCTGGCACCCATGCATCACCCTGCGTTTTTCATCTCACTTTCTATGTCTGACTCAGCCTGATGTTCTGATGGGTAATGGCAGCAATATGCAGGGGACAAGAAATGAGAGGGAAACACAATAGGAAGCCAACTGTTGCCAGCTTTCCCAATTTTCTGATGAAAAATCATAAGAAAAATCCTCCAGCAACAGACTGGAGTTTTATAGTCAAAGGTAGATAGGCCCTAGAGGCTTCAAAGCATCATAGAATCACAGTTGGGGCTGGAAGGGACCTTTAAAGGCCATCTAGTCCAAGCCCCCTGCAATAAGAGTGTCAGCTAGACTGGGTTGCTCAAAGTCCCATCCAGCCTGAGCTTGAATGCTTCTGGGGATGGGGCATCCATCCACCATCTCTCTGGGCAACTTTTTCCAGTGTTTTACCACCTCGTCGTAAAAAACTTATTCCCTATATCCAATCTAGAACAAACCTCTTTTAGTTTAAAACCTCTACCCTTTGTCCTATGACAACAGACCCTGCCAAAAAGTCCCTCTCCAGTTTTTCCTCTAGGCCCCCTTTAGGCACTGGAAGGCACTATAAGGTCTCTCCAGTCTTGTCTTCTCCAGGCTGAACAACCCCAACTCTCTCAGCCTGTCTTCATGGTAGAGATGTTCCAGCCCTCCAATCATCTTGTTGCCTCCTCTGGACCTGGATCAGCAGGTCCATCAGCTGCAGAGAGGTCTCTTGTGGGAAAACACAGGACAAGGGACCATCTCTGATGCTCGAACCTTACTCCTCTGCCCAAAAATGTGCCAGGTCTACAGCAAAAGGAAGGTGAAAGTCTCTTCTAACACAAAGGAGCCAGCACAGCATGGGTCAACTTGCAACAGGAAGGACAATTATCTTATTGAATCTCTCCTCAAGCAGGGGTCTTGACACACACAGCGCTGAATTTTGGGAAGCTGAGGCTTGTGCTTTCACATACAGCAACAGCAATGGGCATGCAAACCAGCTAACAAGGGCTGGCCACTTCCTGGTAACTTCCTGTGGGAAAGCTGCTACCCTTGGAACTAAAAATAGCCTGGCACTCTCCTGTGAGCCACCTTGCTCTTACTTTGGGGGAGCTGCAGTGTGGGAGCTGACTTACTGCACCTTCACACCTAGCTCAGCTCAAGCTCCAAGGAGGCTGGGGAGCAGTCACTGTTCGCTGCTGGCTGATGAAGGTCATGGAGACATTAGTTTTGGTCAGCTGGTGGCCAAGGAGATAACGAACAGGCAGTGAGGGCAAGAGGTTTTGTGCTGAGGTAAGCAGCTCCCTGTGGTCATCTGCAGGTCACCCCGACCCTGCAGAGATGCCCATGACCAGTGTGTCTATGCATATGCACACAGCAGTTAATTATTCATTAGTGTGAAAGAGGTATGATCAAAGCAACTGTAGTATGGCTGAAGGTATCATCACGCTTCAACATGGGGCATTCCAAACACACTGGCTTTACCTTTTCCTCTGAACCTAGAGGAGATAAAAAGTTGTGGAAGAGAAAATAATCTTTTCCACCTGCCAGCTGCAGGAAGTGCCTGACAACAGCACCATCTTCATGTAAAGGCAGCCAGCTGGAGGGAGACAGAGCAACCGCTCCAAGAGACAGCTCAAAGGGCTTGGGCTCCTCTACACAGCACAGCAATCCTGATCGCAGGGCAGGTATCATGGGTACCAACTACCTTATGATAGCAGCTTTATGTCCCTCCCACCTCACAATTCCCTTCCACCTTACCAGTAAGGAATTGTGTGAGAGGACATCAGGCCCAGCCATGCACAGATGGTCCAAATTTGTAATAACTTCTGGTTGCCTTCATATTGCTCCAGCTCCTGGTTTACAGAAGAGCTCCTGACATGATGAAATGAAGGACATCTCTAGCATAACACTGAGGTTCAGAAAAGGAACAAAAGGAATTGTGAAAGACCCTCTAGCAGGTTGATCCACCACAGGCACTAATGCAGAAAGATCCTTCAGACTTGAACTATGGAGTAGAGGTGCCAACTGGTGACATTCTAAGAAGAAATCTGAAAACCAAGGAAGCCACAAATACAAGACCCTAGACATCAGAGCTGAGGCACACTGGCTGGGCAGCAGACACAGGTAAGCTCCCTCTGTGCTACTGCTTAGACAGCTGCATGGAT